TTTAAAATTTTTTCCACTCTTTAACATTACTTGACATTCCTTTTTTTCACCTTTAAAAAAATAATACTCTTCATTAAATATAATTTAAATTTAGTAAAATTAATTTTAATTTGCAAAAATAAAGTGAAAGCTGAGTTCAGAGTGTTTAATGTAGTTCAATTTTGGGATAAAGCTCTACTGGCAGTCACTGATGGCTTATTTATGAGCATAGGAATGTTGTCAATATTAGGATTTGACATATATAAATAGGGTAAATCCTAAAGTCAAAACTGGATGTATAAGTTACCCTGATGTAAAGTTAGCTTACCTTGATATGAATAAAAGTTATCCAATAAATATAAGTTACTCTAATGTAAATAAAATTTATTTATGCTTTATTAACAAAAGCTACCTCGATATACAATAATATTACTGTATGTAAATCCAATGTATACAAAGTTTTTAATGATATTGGGGTAATAAATGTAAGGAGGAAGTGCCATTGAGTTGGATGCAATGATGAAAATTAATCATCTTCAATTAGAATTAGGGTGTACTAGCAGCTATGCAATTATATTGTTGGGTAATAATAAAAGCATCATTAGAGGTGTCGAAATTGACTCAATCAATGCGATCTGAAACTGACCTAAAAAAACAAAATTTATATTTTAACTTGTAAAAATCCAATAATTTAACATGATTTAAATTTAAAATAGACACGACCTGACCCATCAAACCCGACCCACGCGAATTGACTACCCTGCTTAAGCGGTTCTTGTCTTGAAATGATAAACCCCACCAATCGTCAATTAACAAAAAGTCTACAAGAAATGAAATTTCAAGATGGAAATTAAATTGTTCCTCCATCTATCTACTTCGCACACGTGTACCAAAATAGAGCCTAACTACGTTTAGTGAAGTTTGGCAAAAAGTAAAGCTAATTAGGGTCTAACAATATCTTTTGACCTTCTAATAACCTTATTTTTAATGCTACCCAGTTTGAACTTTGAAGCAGGAAGAAGTTGCATGATTGTAATTGGGAAGAAAGAGCTAATGAAAGTGAGATTGGGTTTGATTGTGACTTTGATTTTTGTGGTTGGAAGTAGTAGTGACAAACCGCCAAGAATTGTAGTGAGATTGATATCTAAATAAGAACAATTGTGGAGCTTGGAAATCCTATAACTTTTATTTTATTTGGGTCTCAAAATGCACTCATGAGTTTTTAAACCCGTTCATATAAAGTCGTTGCATGCGAGGGGGGATGAGGAGCAGGGGTGAAGAAAAAATTTACAAGTATAAAGCTAAAATTAATGGTAAAATATATGTGTGGCACACTGTATCGTCAGAGTTAATTGGTCAGGTGTATCTCGTCGTCAAGTAGTTAGTGGGTTAAAATAAGAGTTACGCGATCATTTAAGGGTTACTCAATTAGTCGGGAGTTACTCGATCGGTCATGTGTTACTTGGTTATGGGTTACTCAGCCAGTTAGGTGTCACTTGATTGGTCATATTTAGGGGTAACTCGTGATTGTATCAGTCGGACGCCCGGACACATGATTGTAGCCATCCACACATAAAATGCACTGAAAATGAATAACAATGAAATTATTTTGAATATTTATATGCTTTTTAAAGAGATATAAATATACTAATGAGGAATTAATTAGTAAAATGCTAATATGAATAATCATGATATTTTTCTAAAATTGTACTATTTAAATGTCCATTTATAGAGATATATTACTTTAGCATGCATTGCCATACAACGAGTTGATCAATACAGATAAATTTGTGATTAATACACAATTTCAATTAAATTATGGACCATTTTATGTATTCATCGCAATGTTTATTTGGGTGATTAAAAATATTAATTGTGTTGCTAATTCAATTAAATATCTAATAAAATGTTTCCTAGCTATGTATAGTACAAACAATTAATTTAAACCAGGATGATGATAGATTTGAAAAGGACAAAAAACTAATGGAAAAAAATAAAATCATTAATATAATGTATTATTAAATAATAAAAGCTTCCCTCAAAAAAAAAAATTAAATAAAAGCTAATAACGTATCGAGTAATATTCATTGAAAGTCACCCGTAAGATTATGAAAAATATACCTCAAAAAAAAAATTAAATTATGAAAATTAAATTTCAATAGTGCAAATCTTAAATTCAAAATCTATACTAAATTACTAATATAAGACTCTTCCAAATTACAGCACGTCACTTCACTAACAATTTATGTCGCCACGTCAGTTCACAAACATTTGATAGCGCCATGTCACCTACCTAACATCACAACTAATATAAAAAAAAATATGAAGATAGGAGGATTCGAACCCCAAACCATTTACACCAAAATTGACTATTTAACCATTTAAGCTAATTATCAAACATGTTATAAATATGAAAATGATATATATATATATATATATATATATATATATATATATATATATATATATATATATATATATATATATATATATATACATATATATATATATATACATATATATATATATACATATATATATATATATATATATATATATATATATATAAACACACACACACATATATACAAAATTGTGCCCCGTGCGATGCCCGAGTTATTTATTGAATTTTAAGATAAATTTATAATCTATATATCAAATTTTAAATATATCATTGATACAAAACGATTTGTTATCTAGTATGCATGTAATGACTAATAATAATGTTGGTGTAAATGTTCGATTTAATACATTAAAAAAATAAAAAAAAAATTAGCAAAAAAATACATTAAATAAAATAAATGTTCAAAACCCGTTGGGTTGACCTAGATCCAAAACTTTGGGCAAGGGTTGAACATTTCTTGATTCGTAACCTAAAGTGATCCAAACGAGATGACTCATGACCCGATCCTAATTGACAGGTCTACACAGTGATAAATTCTATTAGATTGTGAAGTATATTATTTTAACTTATAAGTATGTATTATAAGGTATGTTTTACACTTTAAACTACTTCCTTTGCTCCAAAAAATATTATGATATAAAAAAAAAATTTATATGATAATTTCTTAAAATAATAATCTAATAATTTTTGTAAATAAAATTATAATTCAATTTGTACATCTGAAACATTGGTGTTTTATCAAAAATAAAACTCTAAACTAACAATTTTTTCTTAAAATTATATCCAAACAGAATTCTAAACTAACTTTTTTATATTATAATGTCTATTTAAATATATCAATGTGGCACGACACTTGGCGATTTATATATATACATATATATATATATATATATATATATATATATATATATATATATATAAACACATATTCATTCAAAGAAAATTTAATCATATATTACAAATCATTGATCATCTACACACACACACACACACACACACATATATATATATATATATATATATATATATATATATATATATATATATATATATATATATATATATATATATATATATATATATAGAAAATCACATAATGGTAATACCTTCACTAAGCTAAACTGTTTACAAAATGGCATAGAATATGGATCTTTTAAAGCCCTATTTAGTTGTACACCAGTGGGTTATGGGTACATGGAGAAGCCATGGAATATAGGGGTGGTAGGATTAATGTGTTTGATGATATCCCTAACACAGTTGATAGCTCATATGTGAAGCAACTCATAGACCTTTGGGATACACTAATATTGTTAAGCTTCACTTCTTGGATCCTAGGAAAACTATGCAAGATGGGATGAGATATTTAGCCTTCGATAGTAGCATCTTTGACCCATTTTTTCCCCTGTTGCTTGAGTTCAGAGTTATACATGTGTATTCGGAATATGAATTGGGCATGCCAACAAACTTCAATGTTGGTGCAGGTTGTTGTAACTAGGATTAATAAACAAGCTCAATATGAATATGATAATGAGGGGACTGATGAAGATGATTTGGAGTTTGTTAGTGCTAGGGAAAAACTAACTCAAGAAAAGAACGATGAAGTAGGGTATGAAGATGAGCTGGTTATGCTGGAAAAGATTGCATATTCTAAGGAAAAGAAATGAACATGTTTGAGGATGATTGAGAAGGTAATGAAGATAGTTTTAGTGAATCTGAGGATGAAGAGGACTTAAGTTAGCTCATTGCACCTAAAAAAGGAAAAATGACAAGAGAAATAAGGGCATGTGAGAGCACTCAATCTAATTTTTGTTTTGGTAACCAATATGAGAATGTTGTGATGTTTAGAAAAGCTTTGACGACTGACTACAGCATTGGGACTGGAAGGAACATAAAGTTTTAGTCCAAACAGGGTGGGTGCTAAGTGTAGACAGCATGACAAAGGTTGCCCTTGTAAAATATGGGATTCTTGGGAGAAAGACAAAAGAAATCTTACTGTGAAGTATCACATAGGATAGCACACTTACGAAAGGGCAGCAAAGTTTTCATTGATGAATTCTGAATGGATTGCTAGCAATTATGCAAATTGGTTTAGAATTAACCCCTATATGAAATTACATTATATTAGGGAGTCCATATCGCTGGAAAAAGGAATTAGGGTGAGCAAGTTGATGCCTTATAGGGAAAAAAAGCATAATTAGGCCCTGATTGTTGGTGAGTACTAGGAGCAATATGCTTTGCTTCCTAGGTATGCGATAGAAATATTAAAGAGCAAGAGAAGGAATATAGTGAAGATGAAAATGAGTGATAATGTTTTTTAGAGTCTTTATTTGTGTTTTGAAGCCTTGAGAAAAGGGTTTAGGGTTGGATGTAGGCCCTTTATCTCCCTAGATGGATTCATCCTTAAAGACCCTTTTGGGGGGAAACTACTCATTATTGTTGGGAGGGAGTGAAACAACCATATGTTTCCCTTGGCCTGGACGGTTATGAAGTATAGAGCATTAACACATGGACATGGTTCCAGTCTCTACTTGGTGACAATTTAAAGATAACTACAGGGGCTGGTTACACATTCATGTCTAACCAGCAAAAGGGGTTGCTAGTAGTAGGGGTGTTCAAAACTACCCGACCCGGTTGACCTGACCCGCCGACCCGACTCATTTTAATTGGGTAATTTCCTATTTTTTCTTTAATTCACGGGTCGGGTACCCGACTCGGGAAACAGTACAGCAATCTGGGTCGGGTCATGGGCCTTCTTATGTGATTCGCAGGTACCCGAAAACCCGAAAGCTGATTTTTTTTTTTAAAAAATATTGTTTATAGCCTGGAACACCTAACTAGGGTTACATTATTTGACTCACAAACTTCCAGCCGCAATACCTCTCTTTTTCTCTATTGTGTTCCTCTTCATTCCACTCTAATGGAGTCTGATCTCCTTCTCTCTCTCTTGAAGAACTTCAGCTTAATTGACTGCCCCACTACACGACACCACAAGTTCTCTATTTAATTCATGGTTTTTTCACCAATTCAACCATAATCACAATGTTTTTTTGGCGACTCTAGCGAGGTGATGTGTATTTCTCCATCTATTAGATCTTTATTTCCATCTTCATTCTTTTTTCTCCTCTTTAAGCTGTGGTGCCATCATCGATTCTCTAACCCATGTTCTTCTTTTTCATAGTCTAGGCTACTTGTCTTGATTATCAACACCAACATGCCATATCACATATTCTTGGTTTCTTTTGTTAGAAATAATATTGAATTCTCAAATTGGCAGGAACCTTTTCTTGTACTTGAGATGATTTTGAGCTTGTTAATTAATTTGGCAGCTGCAGTAAGCAATTGGATGTCTAATTTTCATACGAAGTATCAAATTTAGAGCAAAAAAAATTTATAATGTAAAAAAAAATGATAAGAAATTGGGTACCCGTGACCTGACCCGAGAAATCCGGGTACCCGAAACCCGGGTACCCGAGTTTCTCTAGTCGGGTCATGGGCCGCCTTTTAAACTACCCGGTAATCCGGCTACCCGCATTTTCAGGTACCTGAAAATCCGGGTACCCTGATTTGAACACCCCTAGCTAGCAGCAGTGTCTGGTGTGAACCTAAAGGCTGAAATAAGGGTGTGTGTTAGGCATGTTTATTGTAACTTCAAAGGGGGTTTTTGGTGGGGGCATGGAATTCAAAATACAATTTTGGATTATAGCAAAAAGTACCACTAAGAATGAATTTGTCAAAAACATTGAAGTGATCAGAGCCGTAATTGCAGATGTTGTTGAAGATTTGTTGCAAAGGGATTACAAGAAATAGTACAAAGCTCTCTATAGTCCAATGTCATGTTTTGATAGTGTTGATAACAACTTCAGTGAGGTTTTTAATGCCTATATTCTGAGTTCTAGGCATAAGCCAATCATTACAATGCTTGACAATATCAAGGAGGGGTTGATGGAGAGACTACACAAAAAAAAAAAAGATGAGATTGGTAAGAAAACAAATATTATTTGCCCAAGGATACAACAAAGAATGGAAAAGGTCAAAATATGATCAAGGGGATGGAATGCTTTCTAGGCTGGGGCTTTTGCTATGGGGTGAGAAAGGGTGCTACATATGACAAATTTGTTGTTAACTTGGAGGACATAACTTGCAAAGCATTGCATTTGCAAGTTAGTGGAATTCCTTGCAAGCATGATCTGATTGCTATTTGGAATAAGGTAGACCAGCCTGAGACTATGTCAATGAGTTTTTCACTAAGGAGAAGTACATGAAAGCATATGAATTTCGCTTGAGCCTTTAAATGGTCCTCAAGAATGGCCACATGGTGATACCCCTTGTGATCCCTCCTAAATTGAAAAAGGTGTAGGGAATACCTAAGGCTAAGAGGAGATATCATGTTGGGCAGACCACAACTACAGGTAAGTTGAGGAAAACAAGAAATCCTAAGTCATGCAACCTATATGGCTTGAAGGGACATAATAAAAGAGGATGTAAGAATGCTCCAAGAGAGAAGGAATTCAGCACACATACACACCTAAGGTGCCTTAAACCCCTGTAGATGCACCTAACACATCTGTCCCCATGTATATGAGAGGGTCTGGGGTCTACACATATGCTAATGGATATCAAAGAGTAGCATTAGTAAGTATTCCCTACTTATTCATCTACATTTGCTAAATATTGAAATTTATTTATAGTACTAATTCTTCTTTTCTTAATGGAGGTTCAAAACCATTACAGACCCTCTCAACGGCAACCACAAAGGGCCTTTTATAGCAATATTGAAGGAGAGCAAACTACGTACTCCTTCAGTCAAGATCAGTATTCTATGTCAAGCCAAACCAAAGCCAAAACATCAACAGCATTTCAAGTCAAGCATTGTAGGTATAAAAAATAATTCAATCAAGTTAAAAATTTATTTATTCATTAATAGATAAATTCATACACTAATTGCATTTGTTATTACAGGATTTAGTAAAGAAGAAGATAAACAACAAGAAGTAGAAGCATCAGGTACAAATACTTATTTTAGGCTTCACTTGTTTATTTCTTCACTGCATACCAAATTCCTACAACAACAAGCACCATAACAACCTTCCATAAGTCACAATTAATGCCCAAGTTCATTCTAGCGGCCCTTGTAATTTTCAGCATCACATAATCACTTTCAATCTTCCTAGCATACTGGTTAGCTTGCTTCAATTCCTTCCTCATATACATAATTTCATTATTGAGTTCATGTTTCTCTTGAAGAAGCCCCAATGTAACATTAGTCTGCCAAGCATTGGGGTCTTCCATGTCCACCAAATTACAATATTTGTAGTCCCTCCTTTCAGTCTCTACATCATAGTCAAGGCAAGAAAGAAACTTTCTACCAGGGTCATCTTTTGTCCAAGCCCTACTTCTAGACACCAACAAACCACAGTGACATCTACTTCCAATGTTGCTCAGCCTTGACATGTTATAATTATTCTTTTTTAAAAAAAAATTACTAGATCTTCCTTTAATTTTTTGAATTGCTGCTTGTGAAATTTTTTATTTTATTTTTTTTAATTGATGTAAGGTCTGTATGTTTAAAATGGCAATGGAGAAGAATATAAATGGAAGAAAATTTTTTTAGAGGTTTAATGACAATTTTGTAACAGCTAAAATCATTGAACAACACCAAACATTAGTACAATCTGCATTTATGTCAGAATTTTTATTTTCCTTTTTTATTTGGAAAATTTGCAAATTGCAGCCATTTAAAGTTCGTATTTTGCAAATTGCAGCCATTTAATTTTTTTTTTTTTGTAAATTGCAGCCTAAAAGTTCGTATAAATTGTAAATTGCAGTCCAATTCAACTTTTTCATCAGTTTACATGTCGAAAAATCTTTGTTTAAGGTTTTAGGGGTCATGTTAGCCCTCAAGGGCCCGAATTGAGCTCAGAATTAGCAAAAAAATAACATAAGTGTCTCATTTTACAGTTTCCCACAAATCAATACATTTTTTTTGACGCAAAACGAGACACTTATGTTTTTTTTTTTTTTTTTGCTAATTTTAAGCTCAATACGGATCCCTAATGCCTAAAATAGTCCCTAAACCTTAACCAAAGATTTTTCGACTTGTAAATCGATGTAAAAATTGAATTGGGCTGCAATTTACAATTTATACGAACTTTTGGGCTGCAATTTGCAAAAACAATTTTAAATGGTTGCAATTTGCAAAATACGAACTTTAAATGACTGCAATTTGCAAATTTTCCTTTTTATTTTTCAAAAGTTTACCTATTGTAGTAGGTTGAGTACTATATTTTAAACTTCTGTAACTTGAGTACCATCGGTGAAACTTTTTGCAAACTTTAGTACTCTCAAGTAGTATTAACTCAATATTTAAGTATTTTAAATGCTCAAGTTTTGTCCATCCTATAAGTTGTAGCTCATTGCCTCATTTCACTAAGCACTAACTTTTGAATTACTATGTTATATCCAAGTGTTAGCTATTAATCTCCTCTTAAGACCAAAAGTTCCTCTCATTTTTCATCATTTCATGGTTTTGTTATCTTACCCTCTAGTGAGGAATTGTTAGATTAAAGAGGGTAAAAGACATCTCATATTGTTGTTTTTCTGAAGGTTGATCAATTTACTCTATGAATAGGTTATGGCCTGTATATATCACATTTTCCCACAGGAGGCTTGTAGAATTATCTTCATGCTCAGGTATATCCAACAACAACTGTATATTGACTTTCTTCTCTTGGCTCTTCCTTTGTAATTCTCCAGTCTCCATTGTAACTCGCATAGCTAAGTACTCTTCCTTAGAGAGCTACTTATCTTCCTAATTCTAACTATAAGCTTTGTTGAAGAGATTACTTGCATCCATTGATATTCCTTGATTGTTCTTTCTTGGAATCATCTTCTAAAAAATACACTCAACGCAAAAGGACTAAACATACTCCTTCTAGGGCATAAGTTTATGTAATAACTTCAACCTCTCAAACAAAAATGTATTTGTGTAAGAGTGGTGTGTTAACTTGAATGCCCCAGCTATGCCTAAATCTCTTTTTCAAGTTAGCCCCATTAGTTTCTTTGATCAACTTCTTTTTTATATTATTAATTTTATACCCATGAAAAGTCATAACATTAATGAGACTTTCCATCCAATCCAACAATTATCACATGAAGCCTTATCTAAATCTCCATTTTCCAAAGATATTTGTTTTGTAAAAAATGAATGTAAATGGGACCTTTCTATATAGTGATTACATTTCTTTATAAAGCTATTTTGTACAATTACAATTCGTGGAAAACTATCATTATCAAATGCCTTTATCAATTATTCTCATATTGATATATACCACTCCAAAACATTCAATTTTGGATAACATCAACCATGAGGTGCTGTTTTAAGGGTGCTGACCCCCCACCCTCCTCTTCTATACCTATGGCTTCAGGTCCCCTACCACACCACGTCCTCGTCGTCGCTTCCAACCCCTAACCTTCAATCCCAGGTAAAATAATAAAACATCAGCCTCCACCTTCATAAGTACGTACAAGTTTGATCATGATGCTCCAACCACGTACGTACGATATACTTGTCTTCGATGGTTCTTTCGAGGACCACCGGGTGCGCGAACCACAAAGAACTTGGATGTAATGCAACTGTGTAATTGTAAATTGTTACATCCAACTGATAAAGATCAAGTTGATGTTTTTAGCTAGGTCATTTAAACTTCCGGTATTAGGACATTTATTAATATGGTAGTTACACTAGTTAGGAAAAACAATGTAGCAAGTTGGTTATGAGTTTCGAGAGGGTACGTACAAAAGTTACATTTCAGTTTAACTTGATAATAAAATTTGTCAACTTACGTACCTTTCGATCGAAGAACGCATCATGCATGTTTTGTACGTACCCTATGATATGTAAAGCTGTAAAATGACCTATATGAGTAGTATAGATATTAAAATTCTCGTTGAATGGTAAACTAACTTATAAAAACAAGCCAACCAAACTCATTCTACTTTCCAAAAGGGCGGGATTAGTTGTGTAAGCCAAAACTGTCACTTGTAATAAAAAAATAAAAAATAATTTCACTTACAATGAAATTCTAATTGGCCTTCATAAATCGAAACTTAGGTTCTGTTTTTCTAGTCTTCTTTTATAGATTTTTGATTCATTTTAGTTAGTTAGATATTTAATTTTCTGATTATAACTTATAAGTTTTATTATATATATGTACCAAAAGTTGTGAGCAAATTTGGCATCGTCTAATTACATAAATTGAGTAGTATACTATTTTGACTATATTATCAAAAAAAAAAAAAAAAACGCTACGCAAGTCAATTGGCTTGTTTCTTACTAAATATTCATATTCACCTAAGTTTCAAATGTGTTAATTAATTTATAATATCTTATTGGTCTTAAACTTACACTTTTTGTGTTAACTTATTATCCTTTATTTTATCTTTTATGAATAATTAGTCCTTTTATATATCTTAATTATATATTCTTAACTTACTACCTAAATTATCTTTCACAATTTAAAACATACGGAGTACATCCGCTTATACACTTATAGTTCTACACACAACTAACGGAGATATACTTAAGGCATGTTTTGTTCAGCTCCAATTAGTTCAGTTCAGTTCAGTTCAATTCAATTCAGTTCAATTGTTTTAATTTCTTTTGCTAATTTATTTCAGCCTCAATCAGTTTAGTTCAGTTCAGTTCTAATCAATTCAGTTCACTTTAGCTGCTTTCATTGAATCGGAACAACCCCTTAGTAGTTTTCTTGTAATGAATAAAAAAGCTACTTATATATACAAAGAAGATCGAGAAATCAATAATGATATACTACCTCCGCCTCGCATTACTCGCAACAAAGGAATATTTTGTGTTTCACAAATAATACCCCTTTTGTTGCGAGTAATGCGAAGCGAAGGTAGTACTATGTATAAAGTATAAAAATTATTATAGAAGCGCATAATATTTACACATTATAACATAATGAAAGCACAAGCACATTACATTGTCGTTTTACCTAGTTGCATGTAGCTAGCTAGGTTGCATGTAGATTACATACAACCGAGTGTGTAGCTTCAACCTAAAGACAACACAATTATTCCAATCATTCAATTTCCTAATTTCTAGTCATTGGATAAGTTTGTTGACATTTGTCTTCCATTGAACCCCAAAGATTTTTTAAATACAAATTAGTACACATGCATGACATTTATTTTCATGTAAAAAGTTTTGGACAAAAAATGTGGAGGTCCTTTGCTTATGAATCTGAGGCCAATGTCGGTAGTTTTCATCTGCTATTGTCATAGCAATTAATTCATGTTTGTACATGAATGAAAAGCTGTTATTCGATGTGTAATCCGACAAAGAAACGAAAAAGAAAATTAGTAGCTAGGGTACCAATTTCAATTGGTCCTTTGAAAAATGGGGCAAAGATGCAATAAATAATCAAGAGTAGTTGTAGTACTTGTTAAACGATTAGTCAAAAGTAATGCAAATCATCAAGAAAATGCAAGTTGTGTAGTAGTACTTCTTCTACTTGTGTCATTTGTGTGACAAAGTTAAAACATTCTACTGCAGAAAGAAAAGTTTCGGAAGCTCCTAATTGATAGGATTTGTGTCTAGTCTTTATTGTTGATTAGGAGATGTGCAATTGTGCATTGTGGATGGAGATAGATCATTTGTGATTAGTTAGACAAAAATTGAGGTTATTTATGCTTTATCTATTATATTTGGGTTTACTTTTGTTTGTCGAGAGTTGCAAGACAACGAGAGTTGTAAGTTTTGACATTGTATGGCTGTCATTTCTTGGTATAGACGGCTCTCAAATATGTCAATATGTGGTTGCTCCAACTTCAAGGAAATTAGTTAGCATTCTTTTTTAGTTATTGGGTGGCTCACGCACGCAATTTGCGTGAATAGCTAGTCTATGTCTGAGAATTTCTTTCATTTTGATTTTAGGTCACAACATTAGTGATTAGCAACATTAACGAGGCTAGGGAATATATGTAAACAAAAAAAATTTAGGTTTATAAATATCCAAATACTGTTCTTAAGAATTCGATAAAAGAGTCAACTAATATTATTGATGGCAATTAAATAAGTAAGTAAATAATTTAAACGGTATAATTGTTCAAACAATATTTATAAGAGTAATTTCAAACTTTTTAAAGATAGGTATTATTATTTATGTTGACCCTTATGAGGTTTTGATGATGATGTTAAGAATTGAGCAAACTTCCTTTTTAATAAAGATTTTCTAGTGTTGTGATGTTTGCAGGTTCAGTAAGCAGTGGCTGAAGCAGGAACTGAGACAAAGGAACTTTAGAAGATCCATGAGGACAAGTAAAGACAGAAGAAGAGTTCCAGCAATGGAACTTCCCGAAGTTTCTTAACAGGAACTTCAAAACGGGTTGTAATGACCTGGTTCCGGTGTAATGCTGGGGCAAGCCTCAACAACCAAGGATCAGTGCAAAGAACGAGATGTCAACCGAAAAAGATGGACTTCATAACTTATAGTTGTATAAAAGATAACTTTATTTTGAAGGTTGATGTAAACATGTTAATGGTTGTTATGCATGGAACTAACATATTAGAAATCAGATAAGGCTTGGCAAACTAATCAATTTGTAAAAGATAATTATAAGTTTTATGAAAAAGTATTTATTTGATTTTATCCTTAAAATCTGATTTAACTTGGTTTTATCTTTTTCATAAAATTCTATCTTTTAATTAAAACGAATTTGATAAGATTTGGTTTTTAAATAAAAGGAAATTAAATCTGTTTGGTTTCGGTTTTAAAGAGATAAGATTAGATTTCAGTTTAACTTATCTTATTTACGAAAACCTTACTTTGTGAGCTGAGGAACCTCTATAAATATAGAAGAAATTCAGCGAAGTAATGTGAGAGTTTTATGCGTGAAAAGTACTTAGTGCTTAAGAGTAAGTTTGCCAAAGGTTTAAGCTTTATAATTTTGATTTCGGGTTCCATGTGTAGCTTTCCATTTATGTGTTAGAGTGTGTCTTTGTGTTGTAATTGGTTTTGGGATGAGATTGTGAATTCTCTTAAATTCACGCTTGAGTGTATGAGTTTGAATTCTCTAAAATTCGAGTGGTAGCTGTGAGTGCACAGTGAGTGAAAGGAACCTGAGAGGTGTCTTGGGTCACCTAGGAAGTGTCGTCCTGGGTAAAGGGAGAAAAGGGTCCTAGAAAGTGTCTTAGGTCTGGTAGGAGGTGTCCTATCATATAGTCAAGTGTCCGTGGTGGAACTTGCAAAGCAAAGGTCTGTGTAATAGGTTGTACTAGGAGAGTTGCCTATTATAGTGGAATTTGTTTATAAGTCCCAATAGGGCCGAGGTTTTACTTCTAGTTAGGCACTGGATGGTTTTCTCGTAAATCTTGCTGTGTTCTTTAAGTTCCTTTACGTTTTAATTGTTTATTTCCGCTTATGTTCCGCGATTGGAACCTACTACTATTCACCCCCCCCCCCTCTTGTAGTAGTTCATCTAAACTAACAATTGGTATTAGAGTAGGTTCTCACGAATTTACAAGCAACCTTTTAGAGCAAAGTTCCTGAAGAGATGAATGCACACGAGAAACTTGAAGAAGGGTATTCTACCCAAAGACCACCAATGTTCAATGACAAGTTTTATTAATACTGGAAAAATAGAATGGAGATATTCATCAAAGCTGAAAATTATCAAGTATGGAGAGTCATTGAAAATGGTGACTTCGAGGTAACAAAAACTAATGCAAACAAAGAGGTAATCCCTAAACCACTGACTGAATTTGATAAAGAAGATTATGAAAAATATGAGTTAAATGCTCAAGTAGTGAAAATCTTGCATTGTGGACTAGGACCTCATGAGCATAATAGAATCATGGGTTGTAAGTCTGCAAAGAAAATTTGGGATTTATTACAAGTAACACATGAAGGAACAACTGAAGTTAAACGTTCCAAAATTGATTTGCTAATGTCAAAATATGAAAGATTCGAAATGCTACACAAAGAATCCATTCAGGATATGTTCACTAGATTTACTAACATTGTCAATGAGTTAGAATATTTAGGCAGGTCCATACCCATTAATGAACATGTAAGAAAAGTTCTTAGAAGTCTTCCTCAAGATGAAAGGTAGAGATCCAAGGTTACTGCCCTACAGGAATCCAAGGATTTCACCAAGTTCAACCTCGAACAGCTCAATGGATCCTTGCTCACTCATGAACTTCATCTTGGAGCTAACACTGAAAGTTCCAAGAACAAGAGCCTTGCTCTAAAGGCTTATGAATCAAGTAACTCTGAAGATGATGACATGGAGACAACCATGCTGGTACAAAGATTTAGGAGGATGATGGGAAAGAGAGGAGAAAAGAACAAAAGAGGACAGCTAAGTTCCAAGGAAATCAAGTGCTTCAGATGTGGTTCCAAGGACCATCTCATCAGAGATTTCCCTCAACTTAAGGAGGATGAGAAACCAAAGTATAAAGGGAAGGAGCCAAACAAATATTACAAATCATCATTCTCCAAAGAGGACGTCAGGAAAGCCATGATGGCTGCATGGGGAAACTCTGACTCAAATGATTAAGGAGAAGGAGAATCCTTGGAAGAAACAGCCAACCTATGCTTAATGGATAAAACTGATGATGAAGCACGATTGAAGGAACTTGAATATGAGGTATGGTATGACTATCGACAACTCAAACATTTAAACAAAGAAAATCTTATGGACATCATTATGGAACTTCAAGATGACTGTAAAGAATAAAACAGGTCGAAGTTCCAAACTGATCAAGCTTTAAAAATCCACAAAGAACATAGTGAATGGGTAGATAATATGAAAACTGATATACAAACTAGATTCTTTGACTTATATGATAAAAATGTCCTAAAAGAACAAGTTGAAAAACTGAAACATGATAATATTTTGTTAAATGTAGAGCTAGCTCAACTGAAACTTGGAATAAATTTTCCTGACTCTGAAGTTCCTATTGCTAGTCAACTTCCAAATTTTAAGAAATTGAAATCAGATTTGGAAGAAGTTAAAATAAAAAATCAAACCTTGGAGGAGGAACTTGCTAGAGCCAGGAAAGGCAAAGAAGTGATTAATAATGGAATCCCATCTTGGATAGCTAACGCTCAAAACAAGAATAAAGAAGAACTAGGATATAAGAGAAAGTCTAGGAGAAATAAGAAGTATGTGGATCTACCCAGCCAAAAATTATGTTACTATTGTGGTAGTACAGGAAATCTTTGAGTTGCATGTTTTAAAAGAAGTAAAGATAATCTTAAGAATACTGAGCATGCTGAACAGGTCTAGATGAAGAAATCTGACTCTTCTTCCAAAATAGTGGAACCCAAGGAAACCTGGGTTCTAGAAACTAACGCTTAGTTTTCATGCAGGTTGCAGTGAGGGGGAACAACACTTGGTACCTCGACAGTGGTTGTTCTAAGTACATGACTGGAGATAAATCTAAATTTCTCTCACTGGATGCCTACTATGGAGGAACTATGACCTTTGGTGATAATAAGAAAGGTGAAATTATTGCTATTAGTAAAGTAGGAAGGTCAAGTTCCCATGCTATAGAAAATGTCTTTTTAGTCGAGGGTCTTAAACACAACTTGTTAAGTATTTCTCAATTTTGTGATAAAGGTAACTCAGTTAGCTTTACTTCTAATCTTTGTAGAATCATTAACAATGACACTAATAATATTATTCTTGAAGGAACCTGTAGGCGTCGTTCAAAGTGCGCCTACGTTAAAGCATGTGTGAATATGCTTGGCAATCATAGGAAGTGGTAATTGACATTACGATTAGGGATAAAGCAAAGTAGGGAGCCGCCAACAAGTTTTTTAAGGAACTTGTAAACCGTTCACGGATCATAAAAGGCAACCACGATAAAGGGACAACGATAGGCAACAACGATTGACCCGTGAAGGTTACACCCCATTCATAATCCATGAGATTACTAACTCCATATGGTTCGGAACCACGAAAGGAGGACCAGGGATGATGGTACGAAGTGAGTCATGGAGTCACATTCGCCTGTATTGGCCTCTACTAGATTCTTATAGTGAAAAATGATTCCTGAGATCTTAAAGGAATACAAACAAAGATTCAATTTTCTCCAAACTATTATTAAGCTAAATTGGTTTAATATTAATGCGACACATAATTCTAAAATATTGTGATCACTTGATTAAACGATAAGATTGAAAAGGAACCTAAACCGGTTGTCCAAATTATCTTATTAGGCGTGATTTTCAATTACATATTCCCTTTAAACATGCAATATGGTGATCATAATAACAATAGAATATACATTAATATTGGAAGCAATTTAGCAATAATTCCAACAACACAAAATCGTTAGAAAATAATAGAAATAAGAGGAACATAATTCTTACTTTGATTCTGTTTGTTTGCAACTAAAAAATAATAAACGAGTTAGTAACTTCAAGGAAATAATAATAAAACAATAATTACATTAATTTAAATAAAGTAGAGTTGATTTGGGGCCAAACCCTCAAATAGTTCTACCTTTCACGCCTTGGCTTAAGGACAGAACCACGAGTAAAGTATGGACTCCTTGGAGTACTTGAAGAAGGAATTTTGAAATAAGAAGGGTAGGCTAGTGTTTAGGCTAAAGCATAGAAGAGAGAAAAATAATCTAGAGAATTAATTCATGCCCCGTACATCAGAAATGAGGGGGTATTTATAGAGAAAATGTGCTGAGGGAGCACACGGAACCCTAAAATGATAAAAACCCTAAAAAAGTATCCCGCGACACGGCAAAATGTACCGTGACACGGGAATTCCTAGCGTCAGACGGGAAACATTCCCGTGACACGATGCATTTTTAGTGTGACGCGGGAAATTTTCAGTAAACGGGGAAGAAAACGCGTTAAGGGTTTACGCGGAAAAGACACAGAAATTCCCGTGTCACGGAACATTTCCTGTGTCACGGGAAATCCCACCGTCAGACGGGAAGGATTCCCGTGACACGATAGGTACCTGCCGTGGCGCGGGAAATTCCTGCCTGTTTTTCCGTCTAAATACATTTTTAAACCTAATTTCCTTCGGCATTTTAAGTGTCGATTGATAATTTCGGGCCTTTTCTGACTTTTTATTATTCAGGCTAAAATAAGAAAATAATTAAATAAAAATAAATAAAGGGTTTGGGCCAAAAATAAATAATAAAACAATAAAATAAAAAAGGTTTGGGCTAAGAATTAATTAACAAGTTTGGGCTGAAATTAAAACTATGCTTTTACCAAACATCAAGACTAATCCATGAACTGTTCAAAAATATGAATTTAATAAAATACGATTTTTTAAGCACTCTCGGGATTAAATACTAAACCCGACCAATAGTGGCGGTGAAAGGTTGTTCATCATCGGGTTTGGTTTTGGGGAGACATTTTTAGGTGTCTACAGAAGCCCCCACTTTGACTGAGTTTGTAGAAACGTCAGTTTCGAAAACAATAGTCAAACTATTTGATAGGGACGAAGAATGATTTAAGATGTTCTGCGATCCTAAATCACTCTGTATACGCCGATACTTGCAGAAAAATGTTAATTCCACATATAAAAGAGTAAAAGGATAGAGTACGTATCTGGCACCAGTGTATCGGTGACAAATGAGTTTG